CCATCGGCCCTGGCACGGCCCCTGAAGATGCCGCCGTCTGTGGGGAGGCCCTACAGAGGCGTTGCTGTCCCTGGGAAACCCCACGGGAGCGCCACCGTTCTTGGGAGGGCCGCCACCACTAGTACAAAACCCACTAGTACAGTTGTTTTGCACCTCGTATTTAGATCTCTGAGAGATATGACGTAAAATAAATACACAGCCCATCACATTTCCAGTATCATCGCAGACCTCAACAATGAAAAAGAGAATAAATAACCAACAGGAAAACTATAAGTTGGGGTGTTGTGCTGAGTGGAGCTCTGTTCTCCTATTGGCTGTAATTTGGTGGATTTATATTTTAGTCCACCAATCACAGGTAAGTAAGGGGATTGCTGGGCGTCTCCATTTGTCCTGGGAGGGCCACGCAGGTAAGCCAGCGCCCTGGCAGGGGTCCCCTGGGGAAGCCACTGACCTGGCGCACCCTGGGGTGCCACTTTGTCCTTGGGGAGGGTCTCTGGGGAGTGCGCGGCTTTGTCCCTAGGGGAGAGATTCACTGAGGGGTGCCAGTGCCCCTGGCAAGGCTCTGGAGACCATGGGGCCCTGCTTGCGACCCCTGGGATTACCCGTCTGTGGGAGGGGCCCCTGAGAGCGTTACTGTCCCTGGGAGAGCCCCTGGGAGCGCCACCGTTCTTGGGAGGGCCGCCACCACTATTCTAAGAGCACTGGTACAGTTGTTTTTGCACCTCGTATTTAGATCTCTGAGAGATATGGCGGTAAAATAAATACACCGCCCATCACATTTTCCAGTATCATGCTTGAACCTCAACAATGAAAAAAGAGAATAAGCCAGCAACAGGAAAACATAAGTTGGGGGTGTTGTGCTGACTGGAGGCTCTGTTCTCCCATTGGCTGTAATTTGGGTGGATTTATATTTTAGTCCACCAATCACAGGTAAGTAGGGATTGCTGGGCGTCTCCATTTGTCCCCTGGGAGGAGCCTGGAGTGCGTAGCGCCCCTGGCTTGGTCCTGGGGGCGCCACTGACCCTGGCACGCACCTGGGAGTGCCACCGTCCTTGGGGTCTCTGGGAGTGCGGCTGTCTAGGGAGATTCCCTGAGGGGTGCCAATGCCCTGGCAGGAGCTCTGGGGCGCCATGGGCACGCTTGCGGCCCCTGGGAGTGCCGCCGTCTGTGGGGAGGGCCCCTGAGAGCGTTGCTGTCGGAGAGCCCCTGGGGCGCCACCACCGTTTCACGTTCTTGGGAGGGCCGCCACCACTGAATACAAGAGCCCACTGTAGGCTACAGTTGTTTTTTTTACTCCTATTTAGATCTCTGAGAGATATGGCGTAAAAATAAATACACGCTCATCACATTTCCAGTATCGCCATGAACCTCAACAATGAAAAAAGAGAATAAAATAAGCAAGGGAAAACATAAGTTGGGGGTGTTGTGTGCTGGTAAATACTGTTCTCCTATTGGCTGTAATTTGTGGATTTATATTTTAGTCCACCATCACGGGAACAAAAATAAGGGATTGCTGGACATTCTCAGCTGTACCGGTGCAGGCAAGCGCCCTGGCAGAATACCTAAGGCCACTGACCTAACGCACACCCTGGGGTGCCACGGTCATGAGGAGGGTCTCTGGGAGTGCGGCTGTCCTAGGGGCTACCGGGGTGCCAGTGCCCCTGGCAGGCTCCTGGGGCATCGGCCCTGGCACGGCCTAGGAGTGCCGCCGTCTGTGGGAGGGGCCCTGAGGCGTTGCTGTCCTGGGAGGAGAGCCTAGGAACTTACGTTAGCTGGGAGGAGACCCGCCACCACTAGTACGAGCCCACTAGTACAGTTGTTTTGCACCTCGTATTTAGATCTCTGAAAGGAGATATGACGTAAAATATACACCACCCCATCACATTTCCAGTAGCATCGCAGACCTCAACAGTAGAAAAAGAATAAATAACCAACAGGAAAACACTCAGAAAGTTGGGGTGTTGTGCTGAGTGGAAGCTCTGTTCTCTATTGGCTGTAATTTGGTGGATTTATAGTACAACAGTGCTAATCACAGGTAGTAAGTAAGGGATTGCTGGACGTCTCCGCGCTGTCCCTAAGGAGGCCTGGGTACGCCAGCGCCCCTGGCAGGGTCCCCTGAGGCCGCCACTGACCCTGGCACGCACCCTGGGGGTGCCATCGTCGCAGGGAGGGTCTCTGGGAGTGCGGCTGTCCTGGGAGATTCCCTGAGGGGTGCCAGTGCCCCTGGCAGGAAGCTCCTGGGAACGCCATCGGCTAATTTTGGCCCTGGGGTACCGTGCAATGGGAGAATCACAGGAAGCGTTGCTGTCCCTGGGAGAGCCTGGGGAGCGCCACGGTGCGGGAGGGCCGCCACCACCCTAGTACAAACCCACTAGTACAGTTGTTTTTGCACCTCGTATTTGGGTCTCTGAGATAATATGACGTAAAATAAATACACCGCCCATGCATTTCCAGTATGCATCGCAGACCTCAACAGTGAAAGAGAATAAATAACCAACAGGGAAAACATAAGTTGGGGTGTTGTGCTGAGTGGAGGCTCTGTTTATAACTTATTGGCTGGCAATTTGGTGGATTTATATTTTTAGTCACCAATCACAGGTAAACGAGTTGCTGGGGCGTCTGCGCTGTTATCCCCTGGGAGAGCCTGGGTACGCCAGCGCCCTGGCAGGGGCTCCCCTGGGGCCGCCACTACTGACCCTGGCACGCACCCTGGGAGTGCCCTGTATCGCTTAGGAGGGTCTCTGGGGTGCGGCTGTCCTAGGGAGATTCCCTGAGGGGTGCCAGTGCCCCTGGCAAGGAGCTCCTGGGAGGCATATCGGCCTGGCACGGCCCTGGGGGTGCCGCCGTCTGTGGGGAGGGCCTCTGAGAGCGTTGCTGTCCTGGGAAGGGGGAAACCCCTGGGAGCGCCACCATTCTTGGGAGGGCCGCCACCACTAGTACAAGGAAACCCACTAGTACAGTTGTTTTGCACCTCGTATTTAGATCTCTGAGAGATATGACGTAAAAATAAATACACCGCCCATCACATTTCCAGTATCATCGCCCAGACCCCTCAACAATGAAGAAAAAGAGAATAAATAACCAACAGGGAAAACATAAGAAGTTGGGGTGTTGTGCTGAGTGGAGCTCTGTTCTCCCTATTGTGGCTGTAATTTGGTGGATTTTACCAGGCTCTAGTCCACCAATCACAGGTAAGTAAGGGATTGCTGGGACCTCAACAATGAAAAAGATAAATAACCAAATATAAAAAACATGTTAAGGCTGAGTGGAGGCTCCTTCTATGGCTGTATATTGGTGGATTTAATTAGTTCACACAATGGGTATGAAGGTTGATTGCCTGCTGTAAGATTTTATATAATTTGTATTGTTGCAGTACTTAACATTTTACCAAAAATACCTGCATGGAAGATACTTTGGGTTACCCGGTCGGAGTCTAATAAATAAATTTATTTTTGAAACGTAGTTGCCAATTCCTCAAGAAAGTCCTGGTGTTATCAGAGATTTATACAAGGTACTACCTACAACTATTGTTAAATCATGTCTTTCCAAAAATTGCTAGCTTTTAATAAAAGATTGCTGTCAACTACAAGACGGGGCAGGTGTGGAATTTTCACAAGGAAAGTATGTATGAGTATGGTTAATGCCTTAGTTTTTTATTAGATATTTTAAAGTCGTGATATAGTATTCAATTCCAAATTTTTATATCATAGAAAGTTATTAAAATAATATATTGACGAATAATTACAGCACAGTACTGTACTGTATAGTGAAATCGACTTTATAAGTGCCGTACTGTCAATCGCCCATTTTATTAAAAACATTCAGGGCTGTAAGTCCATATAGGAAACCTAACCAATGGGTTAGTAGTATTTATAAATCCAACTGAATCCATTTGATAATAAATTTAACTTAATGTTCAAAAAATTATAATAATTACTGGATTTTAAAGAAGTGCGTTTTGTTTCAGTAGAATTGTTGGATAAATCTTTTTCTAGCAAACTATAATTTCAAAAGTCTTTCATAAAACCACCCAACAATAGTACTGGAACAAACAATAAGACTGAACTTTGACCTTTTAATATTTATGAGAACACAAGGAAAACAATGAAGCCTACAATGAATCTCTCCCACCCATATGTGTGTGTGTGGGTGGTGTGTGTATATATATATATATATATATATATATATGTATATATATATATATATACCGGTATATATCTATATATATATATATATATATATATATATATATATATATATATATATATATATATATATATATATATATATATATATATATATATATATATATATATATATATACCGGTATATATCTTAAAACAAGAAAAGGAGATGATAAGGAAAACAAACCGAGGGATCAATTTTACTTAGTGAAGCTTCAAGTTCACTAATGATATTTTAAAGAAGCCTCCCAACACCCTCATTTAAACAGAGCCTCAAGAGAGAAACTATCAGTACAGTATACTTGTTTGAAGTAAGAATTATGATCTGTAGCACAGTATTAACCTGCCAGTGAATGTTGATATCGCCAAGTATGAGCTCCTTCAAGACCAGACGTCACCAACTCTGGCACATTCAAGAGCAAATTAACTTCATGCCACAGTGTGTAAACAGAACAGACCAGCTAGTAAGCTGACAAGTAATATTAAAGATAATTGTAAATGCTAAGAAAGTAGTACTATTAGTTCCAAGTGATCCTAAAATCCTGTTTTCTAGTAGAGCCTGGAGCTGGGTAGCTTTCATAAATCAGGAGTTTCAGTATCAGGGCAATTCACTATGTCAGCCAGGCAGGGTGCCAACCTAGTAAATATTATTTAGGTCTAGCTGTCAACCTCAACATTATGTTTTACTACCATTCATGAGCTGTACTGCTGACCATGGCGAAATCTCCAAACATTTCGGCCAACACTCAATTTTATATTATTTTCTTAGCTCCACATTTTACTAAAAGTTAATCTGGTGAAAATAATAGCCAAAAAATTATGAATTCACTGTATAGATATGATCAACAAAAAGAAATATTTAATTATGACTACAATAACCACAAATCCATAATAATCCAGAATAGGTTCGAAATACATCAAAATATAATTAAATACATACAATACAGTCTTCCAATACATGAAAACCACCAAGGGCTTAAACCCGTGCACAAAAAATTGCTTCGAGATGATTTGAAACAGAATCATTATCAAGGTACAGTCAACTACTCAAATCTGTTAGCCTCTCCCATGAGCCAAGAACTCAGACTAGTGAACCTGAAGCAGTAGACCGATACATTATTCCATCCATCAATGCTTCAGATTCATTAGTCTGAATCTCAGAGTTCGTGGTTCAGGGGGAGAGGTGAACGGACTTTAGAAGCTGACTGTAGATATAAAAAAGCTCCCTTATCAACATTTTGCCACCTTCAACTCATTAGGATACATATTTTCTACTGACTTACTACCTACCTGTATCACCCTGTCTTTGCCTTCACAGAACACGGTGTTGAGAATGCACAATCAGGTGAATATAGACTGATGGCAATTTGCATAACTTACAGTGTTCAAGCTCCAAAGATAAAGGGATTTTTCTAATGAATTCTAGAATTGGATGAGAATATAAAATTTAGAGAGTTTTAGCATCACCTGAAACACCAAATATGTAGTTTTAATGTGGCTAACTGAGGTTCACTGACCTACGACTAATTCTACAGGCACAAAGAAAGGACACAGCAGAAACTCAAATAAAAATATTAATATACGAAAACTCGCACACTCATCAGTGCCAAGTGTTCCAGAAACTTATTTCTCACTTTGATTTCTAAGTACAAGCAAACTAGTGTACCAAGAAAATAATAATGACCTTTATTCAAAAAGCCATCGAGGTTGTATTGTAGATCACCAACAGAATAGATGATCAAACTAAACTAACTAGAACTAAAAATATTAATGGAAAGTATATGCGAATTATACAATCAATTAAAATCTTATTCAGTCCACTTGAGACAAAGTGCCTGTACCTATTAGTCTAAAAGGATTAAACTAAGCTGGCTTCACAAGACCCTCTGATAACAGTGTTTCAGTAATTTTTGGCACCGCAATAGTATAGGTTCCGTCTTCATTGTGCTTTATAACATCCGCCACCACTAGGGAGTGAGAGGGAAGGAGTTCCTTGATTCTCTTTGATGCTGCTGTATTTGCACCATCTGGAGACACCCCTAAAATATAAGAGATGGAGATCTTTAGGACCCACAGAAGCATCATACATACATACAGTACATACATACATTCTTACAATTTTATTTTACAAAAAATCAAATTATATGTTCAAGACAAATATTAATTTATAACTAAAAAAATAATAATAATAATTGTAACCAAGTGAATAAAGATGAACAGTGGGAATTACCATACCATATGAATGTTGAAACATACCGTAGATGCACTGACTCGTGCTAGTATGTTACTGTACATGAAGCTCTTATCATATACATAATCCATCATGTGGGTAATATTCTGATGTAATAGTAATGATTGGCGTTATAACTTTATACTTAATATACAATACTTAATATACAATCACAGTAGAGTACAGTGCCCAGGAAACCCAGTACAGTTACTTGTTATACAAAAATCAAAATATTCCAGTTATTAGACCTGTCTAAGAAGGCTTGAAAATAGAAAAAAATATGTGAAACAAAGTATTTCCCTCATTTACCAAGATGGTAAAAGTTTGAATACATTCACCTTTAGTCTTACCATCAAGAACACAATGAAGAGCCAAACAGGGCAGTTCAAGGAAAATCTTGGGTATTGCTAGTACATCAGTGAAGGGTACGAAGTCTACAATAGCAAAATCTACAGAGAATACCATGGTCATTTCGAGCCCAGGGTTGATGCACGCTGCTCTGTACCACTCATTATCTGTATAAAGTATACATAAATTATTATCACCACAGTTAACAGGACAGCAATGTTTTAAAGATTGTTTTGGACCTTTATAACAGAAAACAGTAAAATTTGAACAACTAAAATAATAAGCTATTACTGTAAACTAATACCTTCTCTGAACTTGGCAAGGCATATTTCTCCATGACCAGGTCGATATAAAAACCCTGAGTGACTTTTGCAATACTCATTCATTACGGATGCCATCTCCTCTAGTTTATCATAAAGATGCAGAGAATTCTGAAAAGAGTAAATGTCACCATTAATACAGTACTATACATACTGTTTGAGCATGCATTTTAATTGCCTGTGAAAGAAAGAGTGGTGTGTGTGAGTTTTGGTCCCAAGACTTTCAGATACAATATGTCAAGTTCTAATGTATCGGTATTTTGGATAATAAAATACTGTAGTATGAGTCATTGTAAATTCACTAATCAATAACTTTTTTCAATTTACATTTGTACATATGTACAGTATACATCTGAGTGTATCATATCTACGTCAAGTGGCTTTAGCTACTTAAAATGATCTGGGAATTCCATAAACTTACATCTGAGGGCAAAAATTTGATTTAAAATTTACTAGAAGTTGGTAGCTAACAAACAATAAAACAAAATTATTGAAACACAGTAAGCAAAAACTTAACACAATTTAAAAAAATTTTACTCAAGAATTTAGATCAGTATGTTTAGAAGTACCTTTGATTGGGAAATTTTTTAGACTAACATTCCTCTGGTTGTTTAAGCCTAGCTGTTTTAAAAGTTGAATTCTTAACTCTACAGATGAAAAATATTATACTTTCAATACTTACAGGAAGCAGGTAATCAAAGTCCAAATTAAATGAACTGTACTAGTTAATGAGAGGTAAGAGCACTTGCCTAAGAAAATATTACTGCTATTGTGGTACTGATTTGCTTGGGTTGGTAAAAAGGAGTAGGGAAAGGAAGGTATGTGACACTGAAATAGAAGAAAGACCATTGAAAGCTAAGAGGACTGCTGAGTATTGCAAGCATTTGACGAGATTTTGTGTGTAGGTAGGCCGAGACGGTTTGGGCATGTAGAGAGATTGAAGGAGACCAACTGGGTCAAGAGATGCATGATGGGTAGGGGCAGGCCAGGAATGAGAAAGGGAAAGGTCACAAGATATGATCTTTGAGATAAAAATCTGATAAGAAAAGCTGCCAGACACCATGGAGAGCTGCATCAAGTTATCACAGCAAGCATAGAAACTGGCCATATACAGTGATGATGACTCGCATGAAATTCAAAACATATTAAAATGAAGCATAGACTAACCCCAGGAGCAGCATATATACTATGTGTATTCTCTACTTTTAGAATAACAATGGGCACACCATGTTCTATTGGAAGCACTGTGGACTTGCATTCGTCATACAAGAGTACCCGGCCTCCAAGAATTTGCCTCTTATCTGTAAAAGAGAAACAGTAATTAAATTCCATCCTGAAATCTCATTTTCTGACCGAGTCTGGACCAAGTGATTTGTGTGCCATCCCAACAAGAGCTGCCTAGCTATGGGCTTGGTCAAAAATTAGATTTCTGGGTCAATCCTCTTACTTTTCACTAACCAAACAAAAAAGAGAACATACAGCATACGATAAAATGTGGGACTCACCAGGACTCTTGTTTTCAGCAGACTTCATGCTGGACTGTGGCAACTCTGGTGCCACAGATACAGCTTGTATAACAGTGGAGGTGTCACAAGGGTCTGCTTTTCCCATGCTGTTGTTACTAGTTTCATTTACTGGGTTATACAAACTCACTGTTGGAGATTGTTGTACATCCTGAGGTGATCGCTTTGGAGGAGTCTGCTCTAATGGTGTTAATGACTGTGCTGAGGTGTATGGTTGTACTGGAGCAGATGACTGCACCAAAGTGGATGGCTGGACTTGTTTGCAAGGTTGCATTAAGCTTGGTGCCTGTGATGCCTTCATTAGAGAAACCTCATTCACAGCAGTGGCTGACTCTGGATGCACCACAATGGATGGTTGTACTAGGCTGAGTAGTTTAGATGACACCTTCACATCAGTGGATGTCTCTGGATGAACTGAACTGGATGGCTGCACTGGACTTGTTGATTTTAATGAAAGTACAGATGGTAGTTTTGCAGCAGTGGTTGATTTCATCAGAGATGGCAACTGCTCTGAAGGTGAATATGATCTTGCTGGAGGGGTGAGTGGCTCATTGCATGAAGAAATCTTCACAGATATGTCAAAGCCTTTTTCCTGAGGTAAATCAGTCGTTGGGAGAGAATCAAATTCTATTCTGGCTGATTGTTGTTTCGCTAGACCTCCAAGTTGACGATTGAGTAGCACCTTTTGCTGTGGGTCAAAAAGTTCAAATTCCAATCCATTTTCCTTTGAGGAAGACATGTACAGCAGTGATGGTGATTCAATTAATTGAAGCAATTTTTTTCTGGCTTTCTTATCATCCTTCAATATTTCAAACAACTTAACTCTGACACAAGCGTTTTGAAACTGCATTAACTCATCACTAAATCTTCTTATATTGCTCTTTGAGACCGTCTCTGTATTACCAAAATCAACATAGTGCAACACCACTTGGTCAGCCTCAACATACATCACCTCGGCACGGTACCACATTTCATCACCAACCACAAATCCACACACCAGCTCCCCAGTTTGTATATCACATGGTACAGTTTCTGAAATATAAGAATTTTGTACACATTAATAAAACAGAGTAACTGATATACAGGTATTTCTTAATTACCAGGGCACATTACCAAAATGGAGAACTTAACTTTCAAGGTAAGGAAACAATGGTATCACCTACACAAAACTGTTACAGCTAACTTGGAGTTAAGAGTTGTGAATGCTTGGAATAACCTGGTGGCCAATGTTGTGGCAGCACCAAGTGTGAGCTCCTTCAAGTCTAGGCTCGACAAATACTGGAACATGTTCAGGTACTTTTAAGGACAAGTACATACCCATGACTTATCAACAGTACAAAGCAGAGAACTATCTGACCATCCAATAGGAAATGAAGTGGTGATAACATTAAAGTGCTGAAGATACAGTTAACTTTCTAGAAACATCACAAATTGAGTAGTTCAGTTACAGCTGATGATGTTTTAACTTAACCCCTTCACTGTGGGGACACCACCTTTGATAATTTACTTAGGTATCACCAGACGATCATATTCAACTGAGAAGGTACCCCGTACATCAGGGGTTAATATCATTGAAATCCCTCGTCAAGTGTTTGCTTTTGGCTGAGTTCCTTAAACAGAGGATTTTGAATTAAAACAAGACTGAATTGAATTAAATAAAGCATAGTCCATGCCGCTCATAAGCCACACAGACTGGAGGCCTCAAAATTCTAAACGGCAACTTCACTGGGTCCATCCCTCCCCCACCTTCCCGAAACAGACAATTTATCGATCAGCCAAGGTATAAAGTCAGTGTTTACCCCGACACATTAGTATATATAGTTTTAGAAAGAAAATACAGGCAGCAGGTAAAATGCCACCGTTTTCTTTGACTGTACACCAAGCAAGCACCGACTGTAATTGTAACTTAAAATCTGTATGTACCATACCTATTAATCTCTTGTAAGCCCAAATCCTTTATTAGTCATAAGATTTACCTTTCTCACAATGATGCATGATGGTTTCTGTTAAGTCTTCCATATCTTTTGGTGTTCCTTTAGTCACAATTTGCACACTCAGTTCATTATCCTCACTAACCCACGTTGGCAGTACAGCATACTTTACACCAGCTTTCACCTCAGTCTTGATTAGGTCTCGAGCCCAAAACTTCATTGTTCCTTCTTGAACATTGGTATTTTGTTGTTTTAGAGATGATGGCTTCCTACCAACTCCTAACACACTTTGGGGATTTAGATTTTCCTCCTTTATGCGTGCTTCATTGGTAATAGTCGTGGAGGGGCTTTGAGGAGAGGTACCTTCACAGGTTTTCAGAAGAAGTCTTTGCTCACCTGTGTTCACTGGTAGGTTCTTGGGTGATAAGCCCTGGCGTTTATGAACACCAACTATATTTTTTGATGCAGTGGCTCTCTCGGCAGAATGAAGGACAATCTGTCTATCATATGAACATGTCTGACAAGAGGGATCATGAGATTTTTCTCCATAATCCATCTTTGCTGAATCAACATCTGCTGGTCTTTTTTTGTCTGGGGGGGAGGAAGCTGTTGTTTCACTGACCTTTGGTGAGATTCTAAAGACAGAATCTGAAGAGGATCCTGATGCACTGACCTCTGTAGAGAATTTTGACAGATGATCTGGTGTAGCAACTGACTTGACACTGACCTTTGGTGGTGACCTTAGGAGTGAATCTGGAGTTGATATTGATAAAGGATAAGGCTCTGACCCAGATTCTGTTTTATTAAGACCATTTGATAATGGGAGAGAAGTATACCAAGGTCTAAATATGTATTTAGTAATTTCATCAAGAGCTGCTTCAGAAGTCAAGGATACTTTTATTGATGTTGACTGCTTATCAATAACCCTGAATGTTATTGGGCTGTCTAGCATGATGAGATTTTTCAATTGCTTCTGAATTTTAGTGTCCACTTCTGAATGAAGTGTGGCTACCATGGTAAGTCCAGGAGTTTCTGTAAATGGTCCTTCAGGAAGGGGTTTAACCAGCTGAACTGCCTCCGTGTTACCAAAATCAACATAGAACACTTTATACTCCACAGAATCCACTTCATATACAAATGCACGATACCAAGATTTCTCTTTAGGTGAAAATGCAGCCACTAGGCACCCATCCTCAGGCTTAAATTCAGGATCATTGGGCAAGTTGTTAAAAACCCTTTGGGCTTCAGAAAAAATTTCTTCAGTTTGCTTATTTATAATTATAGCATTAAACTGCTTGTAGCTATTAGTCAAAGTGATGATTCCATGATAAACTTCATTTAACTTTATGGCATCCAATACAGTAGGTAAGGTATGTAAACTAGACTTTTTCAATACAGAGGATAAAATATTGGCCTTACCTACTGGTAATGATATAGGCACTGGAGATACAATATTTGGAGAGGAAAGTGTAAAGGCATTTTGTGGAGTCTGTACACCAAAAGTACCAACAGGAGCTTTGAAACATGACTTATTTCTATCCACAGAAGTAGAGGAATCTGAGGGTGTATTTCTGGTATAACTGTTACAACTATTATCTGTATTAATCAAAGCCTTATTTTCCAGTATGTTCTTCTTCAAAGGGTCTATCGAAGCACATGCTTCGCCAGCAAAGCATTTAAGGAGCTGTCTACGTGCACCCCGCCCTGCATAGTACGGACGGCAGAGTTGCCCCACATTCCGTGCTGGAATGTGATGCCTCCAAGGTTTGCTATGTGGACTGCTGGTGCTGTTGTAATCTGGTACCCAAGTAGGGCCTTGTTTACCTCTGTCAGATAATGCCAAAGCCCCTTCAGTTTTATTTCCTGTTTGCCAATGACTTTCTTGTTTAAGTAATCTAATCCCTTGCTTAAGAGATGTTGAATTAACGTGGCTGCCTGAAGCAAAGGTTGGTTGCAGGTTCAATTCACCCTTGAGGTTTTTATCTTCCCTCTTTCCACTCTTATGCTCATCATATCCTGTTTCATTCCTCTGCTTATAGCCTCCTTCACTCCTCTGCTTATCATATCCTCCTTCATTCATCTGCTTATCATATCCTGTTTCACTCCTCTGTTTATAGCCTCCTTCACTCCTCAGCTTATCATATCCTCCTTCACTCCTCTGCTTATCATAGCCTGTTTCATTCTTCTGCTTATAGCTTCCTTCATTCCTCTGCTTATAGCCTCCTTCACTCCTCTGCTTATCATATCCTCCTTCATTCATCTGCTTATCATATCCTGTTTCACTCCTCTGTTTATAGCCTCCTTCACTCCTCTGCTTATCATATCCTCCTTCACTCCTCTGCTTATCATAGCCTGTTTCATTCTTCTGCTTATAGCTTCCTTCATTCCTCTGCTTATAGCCTCCTTCACTCCTCTGCTTATCATATCCTCCTTCATTCATCTGCTTATCATATCCTGTTTCACTCCTCTGTTTATAGCCTCCTTCACTCCTCTGCTTATCATATCCTCCTTCACTCCTCTGCTTATCATATCCTCCTTCATTCCTCTGGTTATCACATCCTGTTGCATTATTATCTATTTTCTGCCCCTGTTTTGCTGTTTGGAAGAAAAAGGATGGTGTTGGTAATAAATTGTCTCTGGTCTCCACCTGTGTAGCCAAGTCATCATAAGCCGACACCAGAGGCCTGGAAAAAGAAAAAATACTTTTGTGTCTGATCTATTAGGTATGTGTGTCAATTATACAATCCAAATAAAGTATTTTCTCGTTATATTTTAAATGTGGGGGTAAAAAATCATTTAGGTATGAATAATTAACACAGTGAATCAAGTAAGATATAAACAACACAGTATTGTACACACCATGAAGCAGTAACAGATTACAGCAGCAGAAAACAAAGGCTGCCCCACCAAGATGATATATAATACAATATTACATATGCATAACATTCAAACTCACACTCACCATGCGAGTGGTACATCACAGAATACTGTAGATTTTTGGAAGGGGTAATTCGTATGCTGTTTTATACAAATTATATCAGTGTCTGTGCATATAATCTTAAGTATGTATACTGATAATATTAAAGGAGAACTAAAGGTACTTACATGATATTGGGAAGGCCCAATTGATACAGACTGGTGTACTACAGTGAATAAGTGTGACCGTGTCTGAGGGTTATAGTATTTACGTCTGTGTAAGATTTGTTAACATGGTTACCTCAGGTATCAGACGAAAATATATGAGAACAATGATCTGGGAAAAGGATAAATGTATCAGACATATGTGAAGTGTTGGAAATGACCCATGAACTATACTCCAGGAAAATATCTTATCTACCTCGGTGTGAGCTTAATACACACCGTTACCCCATGTGATGAATAACCACGAACAGTGTAATGATTCGAGAATCTTGTGAACATGTTAAACAATTGCAAAATGTGGGGGAATGAACCATACATAGGAAACAAAGTGAAGTGGATATACCCAAGCCAGGAACCAAGGCTTTTGTTTGGTCTGGCGCCTAAACTGCCCGCGGCAACAGTTTCGAGGTAATGAGATAGCCGAAGTAATTTACCCGGAACCTGACAAACCAGACACTTACTGTAGTAGGTAATTTAGAATTAAGGTATGTAACTAAAAGGCATAGTCACAATATATAAGAAAGTGTATGTGAGGGGGCCAGAATAAAGACATGGTGAAATTTAAGCATTGGCACCAATAGGCCTAGCCAGGGCGAGACGCTGCCCCATCATCTTCAGTGACGCTCGGCATCTCATACACGCAGGTCAGGACACTACAGCTAGTGTTATATCAGAATACTTAAAGAGGTGTATCTAGCATTTTATATACATCTTAAAGGCTTGCCTAATGTTATTAATATAATAAGTTTTGTAATGTAGTATGTTAATACAAAAGCCCATCAGGCCAGTAAACACATTTGCTTATGCTCAGTGATGCTCGGCATCTCATACACGCAGGTGTACAATCAAAGACAAAAGTTATGTCACGGTTTTGTCCGAAGATTAAATATAACTCGTGAAACATTATGAGAGCCCTACCACAAGGCAGAGTGCACCAAAAGTTTAAGCCCTCCGGCATATGTTTTCACCAAATTTCACAACACGACTTTTGTCCATTGTACTGTACATGCCTGTGAGCGGAGGGAGACCAGTGAGGTCGAAGAGAATGCTTGGCCCAACAACCACTATGGATCTCTGGACATCTCACACTTCAACACCCTGGATGTGAAGAAATAATGGTGCTATTTGAGGTGCTAGCGGTCGCCACTTTAAGTGACCTACTGATACCGGACACAGAAACAGTCCTGGTATGAATGCCTGGGAAGGATCTCATCTACCTAACAAGAGTAGAGTGTGAGACGGGTACCTACTGTGTGTACCTCGGTGCTGAGAATGAGCTGCAGTATTATTGAATGTTCCATATTGTGAGGTGATAGTGGTTATGTTGGTGCTATAGAGTATTTTGGGGTGATATTGGGGAAGGAATAACCTAGGTAAGGAGATCAATGATTTGGTATGGAGAGAAGACCTTAATTAATTGTTTGGAGATGGTCTGGTATTTTTGTGTGGTGCAGTGACCTTAATAATTGCTTGGTGTAGGCCAACTATTTTTGTATTGTGATAATGCAATATTTTTTCTATATTAAGAAATAAAGTAGTTAAATTCTTGGTTAGTGTTTCACCCTTTCTTCCACTCTCAACTTGATTAATGAAAAACATGAGCTCACAGTGCCTGGATTGCTCTGCCAACTACTTAAAGAACACTGCAGATACTGTCCTGTGGTCTGGTGGCAGCGACCTTAAGCTAAGCAACCAAAGAATTAAGTAATCACACTAAAGGGCAGTAAGGTGCCCATACCAATACAGTACTCATCCTACAACTGATACAGATACTTTCTAGTAAGCTGTCTATCTATGGATATGTTAGTCTGTTAAATTGCTGCAATTCACAGTATTGATGATTGTTTACAAAGTAGGCTCTACAAATTATCAAAATTGATTGGCAAATAAATATTTATAAATAATAACTAGACCTGATTATTAACTAATTGCTAAGTTAGGTAGGCCAACTGTACAACTCTCTTAGTCCACACTTGTGGGTTGTACATTTGCCAACTCGATTAATTTATGTGCAGCAGTTTATGTTGACCTAGAGGTTAGAACTTTAATATTGTGACTATTGGCTAATCTTGAGTCTTGACTCTTTAGTCTTACAAGTTTAATATCAGTTTTGCTTGTTATCAGTATTCAGTATAGGTACAGTACAATACTTAAAAATTTAATTATCTTAAAGACACTAAGTTGTTTATCAAATTCTTATCTCAATATACTAGTTCTACACTGAAGAAAGGAAATTATTATAATTATCCTGTGACTTTTACTCATACTTAAAGTATTGATTTTATTAATACAGTATCGCCATGTCGGTCTGTACAGTTACTACAATAGATACTGTATAACTGTTAAATTGTTTAATTTTTTATTACTGCAATTTTAAATTATTGCACTTTTAGACGTATGGTAAAAGTATCGGGTGGTATCAGCCCAATTTTCACTGATACAGAGTGTACCTCAAAAACTAGCCAATACCACAAATACTTCAGCACATCTCTAGTATAATAATACTACAGTACATGTACTACATTCTGTTTTCTATATATGTAATTTAAGAATACTATACAGGTATAAAGAGAATGTGGGTGTTTGGTACACTAGTTGTGCATGTCAGAGCATTGTTTACATTGGATCCCCCCACCCATGCACTGGCCAAATGTAATAGCTCTAGAGGGGTATTTTGAGAGGAAAAAATAAAATAATATAAATAAACTATTTTATAAATTACTAACATAAAAAAAAAATGTACACTACATATTAGCAGCTACCATTACATGTATAATACTGTACAGACATTTCTACGTGCAGCTCAAGAACATACAAATTATTCAAAAGATTGAGATCTTATAGTACATAACTTACGGTGGAGGAATACAATTCTCTCTGTGGTAGTACCAGTCATTTACTTGACACATTTTGCCACAATACCATGCCTTGCAAACTGAACATATCAGCTTTCCTAATGCACCACAGGATACGCATGGTCTTGGTGGCCTCCATCCCACAGCTACTGTGCCACAACCCATCTCCACGACACACTAAGTTGTGGGGATAAATACAGTAAAGTAATTATAGTAACTGACAGTTAAAAATATTATGAAGATGGCTCTGAAGCATAAAAACTTTAATAATTTTTAGAAAATTTATAAATGCAAATTACTATACAATGGCATACATCACACATTGTAGAGCCTTTTGAGAGCTACAGCTCTAGACAAATCACTTTAAAAGAACATTCAGGATCAACTGATATATAAGAAATACAGTGTACGATATAAACTGGCTGCCAAGGTAGGCAGTACAATCAGTTAATATTGTATGGTTACTCATTCTACACCTACATAAATGCTAAGTGATGACTATTGCCAGGGCAGTAGAAAACCACATGAAGTGAACAGATGAACCACCTGATAAGACCTGCACCACAGAACATTCTTGCCCAAGTGAGCTAAAATCTTCCATGGCAGATTTGGTTAAGCATAGATACTTCCATTTGGATACAGTACAATATAATTTCGTTGAAAAAATATTTAAAGAGTATTTTTATGCATTTACTACATTTTCACACCATGTGGAAAGTCACAATTAAAATTATGTGGAAAAAGTCAATGGGCTTCACACTGGCATGCCAAATATTGAAAATCTACAGAATGGGCAAGAAATATTGTAGAGTACAGTACTTGTGTCTACATGCAAATACATAGTAACCAGTGTGTAGAATTCAACCTAAAGCTCATGGTACATAAAATTATGAAGATGAACAGAAATACTCACCTTATCAGGTTGTGGTTTTCTCACGGGGGCATTACTCATTGAAGTAACAGCACTAGTAGTTACAGCTGGGATATTACTGTAAGATTATGATACAAAGAATAATATAAATAGTACTGTAATCTGTTACTTCACACATGGGTTAAAATATTACATCTCAAAGCATATATTTCAAAGTACTACTGTAGTATTACCAACAGTCAGCTGTATCTTTCGGACATTAGCATTACTATGTCATTCATCAATTAAAGCTAAATCATATAATTACACCACTTAAAAGTAACTAACTTCCATCCCTAATTGTTTATTACCTCACTTTATTCAATGAAAACCTCTGACCCAATACTGTACAGTCAACAACTACTAAAGTGTGTTCGCCTCTCCCCCTGAACCACCAACCCTGAGGTTGAGAATAACGTATCAGTCTACTGCTTTAGGTTCATGAATCTGAATCTCGGGGTTGGTGGCTAAGGGGGAGAGGCGAACGCACTCTGGTAGTTAGTTGACTGTACTGTTACTGTACCTCTCTTGTGGGGGAGGAACAGCAGCTTCCTTTGGTTGTTTCAAACAGTTAGCCTGTCTTTCTGCATGCTGTAAATGAGAAACGAATATGACAATGAAGTCATCTGCATTTTTCTATTTTGATTTTAACGTACACATTTGTTATAAAAAGAATACACACACTTGAGTGCGTATCAAGAATCTGAAATACTTGGGACCAACAGACTTTTAGGAAGGAAGGAAGGAAGGAAGGAAGAAAAAAAAAAGAGAGAGACTTACCCTTTTAGCCATAGAAGAAAACTTTCTGATACGTTCAAATCTAGTATTGGTACTTTTTGATGGTGAATTCTTCTGCGACACTAAAGCCAACCGGCAGTCATTTTCGCTCATTTGCCCCGAGATGAGTTTAATCACCTGTTCAAAAATATTTAAAAATCCTTTGGTATATTGTCATCACAACCACCTCTTCTCTGTAATAATAAATCTCATCAATGTGAAGCAACTTATAAACACTGTACTGCACTATACCAAATGAAACACCTATATTCTATTAAGGTATGGGAGTGGTCTTCACACCTGTATGTTATATTGAATACAGTATCATATTTTTACCTTGACTACTGTACAGTATATTAGTTTACCTTACACTGTACAGTATATGAGTTTACCTTACACTGTACGGTATATTAGTTTACCTTACACTGTACAGTATATGAGTTTACCTTACACTGTACAGTATATGAGTTTACCTTACACTGTACAGTATATTAGTTTACCTTACACTACAGTATATTAGTTTACCTTACACTGTATAGTATATTAGTTTACCTTACACTGTATAGTATATTAGTTTACCTTACACTGTACAGTATATTAGTTTACCTTACACTACAGTATATGAGTTTACCTTACACTGTACAGTACAGTTGTACCCCACTTAACGCGGTCAATAGAACCCAGAGGGTCCCGTGTTAAGTGAAATCCGCGTTAAGTGAACAACAGAACATATGGGATTAATTCCAATAGAAACCGGCCCGACCCCCAAACTCCACTTTTTGAAGACACATAACTATGTTGTAGTAAAAATAACATCTTAATTTTATGATGGTACATGCACACAATTAATACTTAAGAGAAATAGAGAAATACAGTCGCCAAGTTAATGTCCATTCAAATAATGGACTCAACTCCCTCCCCCTCTTCTCACACTACTGCTGGCTCTTCCCTCTCTGAGAAATTTTTGGGGAAAACCACTAAATTTTAATAAATAATACCTCAAACTAAAGTTAGGATAATACAATTGACATTGCTGGATTCCTTGTAAGACCAGGAATATTTTGAATATAAATGTCATATATTTTGCACAAAAGATAACATAGTTACCCAGAGAAAAAATTTTATCTAAAATTTGTATGTCTAATGCAAAATATATGATGTTTATATTCAAAATGATCATCAAATTATAAGAATTCCAGCAATGTAAATTATTTCTGACCGGGTAATTTGTATAAATTTTATGAGCTAAAACAAATATCTTCAGTTAATAAAAAAAAAAAAATATTCTTCACAGGGTAACAGATGGTCGGTCGGTCCCTCCCTCCCCCCCACCCCCCACCAACCGTCCCAAGGAGATGTGTGGGAAAACCAGAATACTTAACTTTTTTGTAATAAATAATACCTCAAACTAAAGTTAGGATAATATAATTGACATTGCTGGATTCCTTGTAAGACCAGGAATATTTTGAATATAAATGTCATATATTTTGCACAAAAGATAGCATAGTTACTCAGAGAAAAAATTTTATCTAAAATTTGTATGTCTAATGCAAAATATATGATGTTTATAGTCAAAATGATCACCAAATTATAAGAATTCAAGCAATGTAAATTATATTCTGGCCGGGTAATTTGTATGAATTTTATGAGCTAAAACAGGCAGTCAGGCAGGGTGGCGCAAATCTAAAAATAGCGTCTCTAGCCGGACACTCACCGCGTATATGTGGAAAAAATCCGTGTTACGTGAAAGTTCAGCTCTGGCGAGGCACCGCGTATATGATAAAAAGCGTTAAGTGAAACCGCGTTAGGCGGGGTAATACTGTATATTAGTTTACCTTACACTGTACAGTATATGAGTTTACCTTACACTGTTTACCTTGACTGTAAAGTACAATATAATGCTTAACTTACCCTTTCTCGGTGCTGCTTCTCATACGCTCTCTGACGCCAGAGTTGTTGCCGCTCTTTATCAGATAAGGCCTTTTCCACCTTTAGATTATAGGGTGGCTTCTGGTGCAGCTTGTCTATCATGTTTATAAGATCCCTGAGGAAACACACTGTATTAGGACCAGCTCAAAAATATATCTGGGTCAGGTGTAGGAACACTTTTGGGTCATCCCGGAAGTGTGGCATGTGCACTGATAGTTTCAATGGTCTTTTTTGTCATATGAGAGTGTTTGTTTTTTGAAGGGCATTTGTTGACTAAAAATATAAATATGTGGCTGTTACATTATTTTCTGATAAACCATTGACATCAGACACACAATACAAGTCTAAGAGCCAACTGCTGTTTAATATATTTAACTAATATAACAAATAATTAATGTGTGTATGAGAAATTTGATGATAATGATTGAATCATTGGTTTGATACATCAATAGTTCAACTAAAATTCATTTAGTTATATATATATATATATATATATATATATATATATATATATATATATATATATATATATATATATATATATATATATATATATATATATATATATATATATATATATATATATATATATAACTTGAGTTTCATTAATTTTTCACCAAGAATGCAATACAGTACAGCAATAATAAAACTGTGATACAGTATATAAAGTAACTTACTTTATGCCGCTCACTTGGATAATCGCCCAAGTGGTTTGCTTACATACAAACTCTGGTTTTGGAAGACCAATGTGTACATGAAGAACCTTGCCATATTCATTCAGCATATTCTTAAGCTCAACCTACAATTGAATAATATTAGCAACATTAGCCACAATACTTAATGTATATACAGTAATGTGATAAATTCTGTTAAAATATTATCTGGCAATACATTATTGAATGTTAACCAAGGAGATAGCCTTAATGCTTCACTGCATAATAATTCAATCCAGTTTCATAGCCAATTTTCCACACTTATGTGTGAGTTAGCTGCAATTACCTGATGGTTGCTGTTGGGTAAACCCACACTTCCTATCACCAGTCCAAGGGGTGGGAACAGCTAGCAGGGTCACAACTCCCTGGTGTAATTAAACACTACCTGCACCCATTTCTACTCAATCATGATATACAAAATGCTTATTATGAACTGTTCAGTATATCACCATCAGTAATGAACAGCTTACAAAAATCCTACCATCTACCAAAACTAAACTTACATAATCAAAATCCTAGTTTTGACAAATTTCGAGTACAGTACAAAATGAAACTTACAGCAGTCACTGACATAGGAATGTTACTAATGTACACTCTGTTTGGCTCACGAACTGCATCCTTCATACTTGTCCTTAATAGAGGAGAGAAAAAATCAAATTAAATTAGAGTGCATACCTTTTTCTCGCAAAACATTGTATCAAGGAGATGTGTACACTATAGCCTCTCCCATGTAAAATGGAAATTTTGTTTTCTGTCTATGGATCCCAACAGTGCAGTATTGTAGTTTTTAATGTCTAGTGTTGTGTGCTATGAATGTATAGGCGTGCAATCCACAGGAATAATCCACAATGGGAACCGAACCCTATTTTTTTTTTTATTTACAGCATTCTAAAACTACAGTATATAATTATTTCAAGGGTCATAAACATAAATTATTGGAATTTTAAAATTTAGGAAGAGATGTCTGTCTACTAGATACAGCATCACACAAAGAAATACCTACAGGTTGGGAGCATAAGAACATTCCATCTTCGGTCCAAGACCCATTTTGGTAGAATTCTGCATGTAGTCTTCAACACGTGGGTCCCAGCCATCCAGGTTGTCCCCGTCTGGCTGTATGTCTGCCTTCATCTCACCTGCTTAGAAAACTAAGGATTAACATCAACAATACCCTACATCACTATCATAGTTTGTTCAGCAGTAAACATGATACAATTCTGTAAAAAAATATTTCCTGGCAAATAATTTGGTAATGTTCAAGTGTAGTCTTATTACTGCACTATAGAATGAAACAAGATAACCAATATGCACTTGAGTACATTTCTTAGACCAACCATGATGAACCATAACCAAAATGTGTTACCTTAATAAATACGGCTTTACCGATGTTCGCATTTCCTATTGAAAGAATCAATATTTTGCTATCTGGACTTTAAGATATAGGTTACGTTTCCTTTCAACATTCTTGGATAGTCATTATTTTGGAGTTGATGTCTAAAGTTGAATTATTTACCATAAATACCACTCCAAAAAATCTGCCAAGTCATCGCATGTCAGTTGTTTGTTTACAACCGATCCACTTAGTCCGAGCGTGCTCTTATGTCCACTAAAAACCTAAAATAACACCAGAAAACTTCAACAAAGTTGCTTTCATTGGTACCAGTAAGTACCCAGTAGTTTCTGTTTAGTATGGCTGGGGGCCGGCGATGAAGTTAGGTATGGTTAGGTAGGTTGGTTAGTTCTACAGTATACGTCTTTGACATGTAAAATTGTTATTTCCTTGAAAACCACCAATTCCCAAGGAAATGAAGGTCATATTAGAAGAAAACACACCAAAATATTCCAGAAAAATAGGTTTTCATGTAAAAAAAAAAAAGTCACTAAAAGCAATAATTACCATGAATACAACTGATGAATGAGTTGTGTGGCTGCAGATTATATTAGACAACTTGTTAACACCAGCCATCCAAATACAACTGCAGTGATATCCCCATTAGCCGGAACAATTGGTAAACAGCACTTCCGGGAATAAGAGATTTCCGGGTAACGAGACAACTCTCTCGAACCCGGAAAAATATCCCTCATCCCCGGAATTTTTCTGGTAACGGAAAATTTTCCCTGGAATTTCCAGAAAATACGCCCGATTTTCACCTCTCAAACCCGGAAAAAAAATCCCCCCTCCCCAAAACTTTCCGGATTAAGGGAAAATTTTCTCAGAATTTTCCGAGAAAATGTAAATTCCGGCTATCGGAGAGTTCTGGGTTTGAGGGATTCCAGCTAATAGAGATATTACTGTACTTTACTTATATACAGACATTATTGTCAGGTTAAAATTGAATGGTGGGCAGTGAATGGTCATTATAGTGTATGGTCGTTCACCCTTTTAAGCCATAATCCCCACATTTTAAGTTCTGTACTATGCTCACAGTGCTGGTGGGTTGCTGCAAGGAAAATCTGACACTGACAGTAGTATTTAAAATTTGCACCTATTTTGGATTTGGTTCATTATTGGAATACGGTACAGTACAATACAGTATAGGGAAATTAATTCAACGGTACCAAAGATTATTTCCAGTACAGCGTGTGTATTGTCTCTAGGTGCATCAACAGTGTCGGGTCATTAAGAAAAAAGGGGTATGGGGGAGGCAATATTTTTGGCTCTCTGGGCTTTTCTTATACTGAGAAATGTCCTGAAGCTGGTGGTTCAGGAGTGCAACCTTCCTCTAATGATGCCACAATTAACAAGACTAAACACTTTTAACATTAGATTGAGAATGATGATGATTGCTGGCAACACGACCCAACCTACAACTGTTCAAGCATGGTGACAACTGTACAAATAAATGTCTTCTCAATAACCCCCCCCCCCCATTAGAACCAAAAGGACTTTTTATGGAATTGCACCAAATTTTCAGATGTTGTTTGGATGATACAGAGTAATAAAGCCGAAGCAACAGCACTAGTATTTCTTTTCTCTTTAGCCTATCCTTCGATCATAAATTACTTGTAAGTGGACGGGCATGAAAGAAGAAGGAAATAAAGGGGTAAAAACACTGCAATCACTGATCATATGACAGTAATTTAAGGTCTTTACATCCTTTGTAGACAAAGAAATAAATATATTTATCGCAATTATGACGCCGTCACATCACCCATCGCGATTATGTTTTGGTTCACATCATGAGTTTCATCGTGAGTTTCTATTACAATTTACACTGGATTGAATTCTTTCATTGGTCAATTTACAATAGAAAAAGGTTTCGATTTTTCCCCCCCAAATTTTTTCCCTTGGTTCTTGGTGTGATTCGAACGAATCTGACCTTCGGAACTGGTGTTAACCACCCGTCTTCGGGTTAAGCCCCCCCCCACCCATGACAGGGCATAACCTAGCCATAAATACCATGAAAAGCTGTACCCCCCAACCCCCCCCCAGTGTTGATCGTGTGCTTACTTAAAAGGCTGGCGTCGAGGTCAGAATGTGACTCGTCTGGCTGTGAGTGAGCTCTTCAAGGGATGTTGTGGTTTTCTGAACTCGCTATATCTCCGCTATTTCTCGTCAGCGCAGAAAGTGTCATTGAAGAAATTTGTCTTATTTTTGTTAAGTAATGTGGTTTCAAACAATAAAATAACGGAATTCGAAACCTGGCTACTATCCTAAATTGACCAGTTCATTTTTTCTAGAAAAATTGTTTGCAAGATACCAAGTAAGAAAATCTTAACTTAACGACAATGCAAAAGTTAGAAGTCAGGTGAGGTTAGGTCAGGATCTAATAGGTTCTGTGTACTCTTGCTTCCATTTTTGTGTAAATAGTACAGTATCTCCAGAAATTTTGGTTCAATTCCATAAGTTATTTCTGGTGCTAATCGTCTCCTCCAACTTTATCGCAAGGCAGTGGATATATTACCGTGACCGGCTAAGTTCCTAACGCTATTTTACCATGACTGCACATTGATCTATTATCAGTGAACAACGTGTGAGTATGTGACTGGCAGCATTTGTCATTTATTATGCCGTTAGTCGATCATTGTGTAGCTATAAGAACATAAGAATGGAGGAAACTGCAAAGGGCCTATTAACCCACACTGGACAGTCCCGTTTACACCCAACCCCTATCGCTCATATATCCATCCAACCACAGATGTTCATATCATTATAAAAGAGGCGACGTTTAATAGAACCTAACCACCTAGCAAGGGCATCATATTAAACAGAAAGTACTCAGCCAATCAGAGCACACTCACGGTAAAATAGCGTTAGAAGGCACTTAGGCGGTCACGGCCAAATATCCACTACGTCATCTAAGTTAATGACCAACTACTACTATGGGGAACTTTTTCATCCTGTCGTATTGTTACTGATCACCATTTTAATTAACATACAGTAATACCCGTTCAATAAACACAGACACTTTGTGATTCAAACTTTCTATTCCTGTATTAAAACCTAATTACCGACCATTAAGTCAGCATCAGTCGGAACAGTCAGTCCATGACACAAACCACTCACTTGTATGCTATTCTCCTACAGCTTCAAACGTAGAGAAATCTTATCTTATCTTCTGCACATGGTGTGTGAGATAAGGTTGGTGATTACCAACCGTCTTACCTTGAAATTTTTGTACCTGTGATAATTGTAAAGATAAAAGATTATTCCCACCTTAGGGCAGCCCACAGACGCGTCCCCTCCCTCTCTGCTCCTCGTGGCTCAGTAAGTTACATCCCTAAACTAATATTAAAACTCATCACACCAAACACATCCATAACTACCATTTATCTATAATAAATATATATGAGTTAATTTAAGTTGATTTTGAATGAATTATTGTTTATTTACGTATGTAGACTAAGATTTAATTTCCCATTTTCTACGGTCGCCTTCTGGTTATCGCTTAGCAATTTACTAAATTATCTTGAATGTTGAGCAGTAATTTTAATTACTGAAACTGATAACATGTGAATTCAAATTTTTAGTAATGTAGATTCTTATTATTACTACTATTACAATTATATTTACAGATTAATGGACAAGATTACACCTCGTGGTATATTCGTCATTTACTGTATATTCTGTTAATACAACTCAAGGGCAGTGGAGGCTGGAGTGCTAGAGACAACCTAACACCATTAACGACCGTAGACAAGATGTAGACAAAACACCTAGACCTTGACAGCACCTAATCGTTGGGGTAGATCTAGAACTCCCTGAATCTACCCCGAGGTAGAATATGTGAAGGAGTATATTTTCACACTTCACGACGGGTTACTATAATATAACTTAAGTTCATTTTGTACTATGCAGCAACAATTTACTCCATTACTACAAGTAGTTCTTCCAGAGATTTTCAGTATTGTTCTTTACAAATAATCTATAACCGTGATCCCAGCCAGGCATCAGCCACCTTCTGGTATTGAGTTTGTGGGAAAAGTATTGTTTTTTGAAGCTGATCACACTGACAGGCGTGTGAACATCACTGTGGTATTAATCACGGTGCTTTAAACTCACTCAGGTCAGCTAAAATACCTCTATAGTACCCCAGAATAATGGTGATCATAGGGTGTTGTTCTTCACTGCAATATCTTTTTTTATATATATTTCTAAACGCCGGCCATAGTTCAAGTGGTAAACCTAAGGATATTTGACCAACACAAGTGAGATGCAGAGATTTAATATAGATCCTTCCTCAATTACATTTTGTAGGCCCAAAGGGAAACTTGATATATAGCAGTGTGAGTGAGGTGACCAACTTCAAATCCAATACGGTTCATCACAATACAAGATGTTCTCGTAAAATAAAGATATGTGACACTTGATCTCATTATTTTCATACACTACTATATATCTGATGCTAAGACATGGATGCTCTTTGAGATTATTATAAACAGTTGTAAAATATGAATGAGAAAAAAAAAGAACGTCACTGTACAATAAGCTATGCACTAATACCATTTAATAAGCGAAGGACCATAAAAAAAAATAAATAAAAAATAAATAAAAAAATTAAGTAAAAACCTTCACATAATGATAAAGGAGAGTAAAATACAGTAGAGAGTTAAGAAGCTTGCACAGGATTAGGTCAAGATGGTCAACAAATAACGTTGGTGGTGGCGGCAGTGTTTAGTAAAGCCCATTGTTTATGTTGCGAGTGGCCACGTTCACCTCCTCTAAAGCTTCAACACAGGTCACAGGCTGTCTTAGGAGATCACCGCCAAACACGCCACTCTACACACACACACAAGCCGCTCTACACACACACACACACGCCGCTCTACACACACACACACGTCACTCTACACACACACACACACACACACGCCGCTCCACACACACACACACACACACACACGCCGCCTACACACACACACACACACACACACGTCACTCTACACACACACACACACACACACCACTCTACACACACACACACACACACACACACACACACACACGTCACTCACACACACACTAGTTAACAGATAGAATATTCAGAGGAATAAAAATTTTCTTAAAGATCTTATTATTATCATTCTTACATTATTATTATTGATCTTCAAAACAATTTACCTAGGCTTGATAATTATTGTATTAATACTTATCAAAATAATAAAATATTGTATACATACAATGGGAGGTTAACGACATGGAGATTCGCTGATGAAACTGTGATTATGATAACGAAGATAATATTTACATAGAGAGTTAGATGAAGGAATCAAGGGGAAAGTTGGGTCTGAATACAATTAAAGCTTCAGAGAGAGAGAGAGAGAGAGAGAGAGAGAGAGAGAGAGAGAGAGAGAGAGAGAGAGAGAGAAAGAGAGAGAGAGAGAGAGAGAGATAAATAGTTTACATTTTAGTCAGATTTTTATTTTTTCATTTCTCCATTATCTCTCTCTCTCTTTCTCTACCATCTTCCCCGTTTTCTTTTTCTCCTCTCTTTTGCCAAGTCACCCTCCCTTAAGTCAATCTCGCCCTTTATTTCACTGTCAACATTAAGTCAGTCCATCAACTTTTACCATCAGATTAGCCATCAACTTTCCACCACCACCACCTTCTCATCTCAGGATGGTAGAGATTCCAAATGGAGACTGACTACTCCTTCATCCATTCATCGGCGGGATCTCATTTACTGCATTTAAGCCTTCCTGATAAGCTTTCGTCTGGTATGTAGATCTTGTTAGCTCAGACGGATTTCACTCTAAGAACGGCAGAGGCAGATTCGGATTCGTCCTGTTTTGTTATTATTATTATTTATTTGTAAAGAATCTCCACCCTAGCTTATTTCTCCTAAAGATTAACCACCACAACGTTGGGAAAATATTGCAACAGCATTTGTCTGCAGATGATCATAATGTTGAGATAATTTTTGTCTAGCGTTGGCATAACATTGTGGTAAAAAACCTAATATAAAACTGTTTTAAATAAAATTTTTAAAAACGTGTCAGGATGGTAGGCCCAAGGACCACCTAGGCATGAATTTGTTTAAGGTGTAGAGGCTGTCGCCAACACAACAACCACACCCTAAGTTAAGGAGTTGCATGACCCAGTGTCAAGGAATAGTCTGAGAAGACCGGTTAACTCGCCGAGAGAGAGAGAGAGAGAGAGAGAGAGAGAGATACGTACAACCACCATCCAGGTATAATTTAGTCTTAAACTACTAATTACCTGAACTAAGCTCCTGATTCAGTGAGCCAATTGGCCAGATACCGCAGTGTTTAATCACCTAGTTGTGCCGTAACAAGCTCTCGCGGGCACACAGCTGTTAGTGGTGCACAGGAAGGCGTGTTTCTTACTTAATAATAGGGAGGGGTGTGAAGAACAACAACAATATAATGATGAGAGAGAGAGAGAGTCATTATATCAGGCCACATCTCGCTACTCCCCGACATACATTCACAGTGATGGGATTTCGTGTATTGGTCAGAACGATCCTACATGAGGCGCCAAGACACAATTACTTAAGTTCACCAGTTGAATTTGTCCTTCTTGGAAATTGATGGTCGGCCATCTTGTAAGTGGTGTGGAAGTGGTGGGCCATCCTGGAAGTGGTGGGGTCATCTTGGAAGTGGTGGGCCATCTTGGGAAGTGGCCATCTTGGAAGTGAGCCATCTTGGAAGTGGGCCATCTGAAGTGTGGGCCATCTTGGAAGTGGTGGGCCATCTTGGAAGTGGTGGGCCATCTTGGAAGTGGGGCCATCTTGGAAGTGGTGGGCCATCTTGGTGGGCCATCTTGGAAGTGGTGGGCCATCTTGAAGTGGTGGGCCATCTTGGGAAGTGGTGGGCCATCTTGAAGTGGTGGGCCATCTGGCAGTGGTCGGCCGGCCATCTTGAAGGAAAATAGGTGGTCGGCCATCTTGAAGTGGTGGGCCATCTTGAAGTGGTCGGCCATCTTGGCAGTGGTGGGCCATCTTGGAAGTTAAACTTATTGGCTGCAGGATCAGGGGGATGAATGTAGCTCTAGTTATGAATCATCAAATCAAATTTAAATGCAATCTGGGGAAAAGAGGAGTCCAGGATTTAATATTCAGGGGACTAGACGGACACTGGACGATAGTAAACACCACAACTATAACACAGGGACGGATAAGGGCGCGTTCACAATGATGTCAGAACAGATCTCTAAACTCACTAATGCCAAGACACAAAGATGGATTCTCAAAGGTTCCAAATAAACTCTCTTCTCTAACACCTTCACTACAGGGATGCCACTTTCAATATTTTATTTAACTAATGATAGACGATTTTATTTAGCATACGGCCATTATTTTAAACATTCTGGGCAGCAAGTCCGAAGAGCAATTCCGAATGACGGTGTAGCTGACCAGAAGTTACCTGACCAGGTATACGAAACGATAACTGCGCATGCGCGGTCGATGACGTGACAACATAGAACCTAATTGACCTAACAAACCCAATAGGCTGGTTTTGTTAGGTCAGGTTGTATTAGGTTGTTTGCATTATCGTATTAATTTATGTGTTAAGCAACTTACCTTAATACTGAGGTTGATAAACATCAAGTAACATCAGCAACGGCGAGGAGTTGGCGTTTCGGACACTTCTGGTCTGCTTCACCGGGTTAAGTTAAGTAACCTGACAAATGGATTCGTCAAACTCCATTAGCAGCTTGTACACTCGGTTACCGTAATGCCGCAACTCGGGAGTAGAGTAGAGTAGAGTAGAGTAGAGTTTTGTGATCTTTTACCATGTCTTTTAGTGTTCTCTTTTGAGCTTCTGTCAAGCAAGTTGCCTTCTCTCTTGAAAAAGAGGCTTTACAACCTTCCCGAGTTGTGGCATTATGGTTACTAAATAGTAACCCGAATCTACAAGCTGCTAATGGAGTTTGACGAATCCATTTGTCAGGTTAGTAAAACTTAACCCGACATTCGAAATTGCTCTTCGGACTTGCTGCCCGGAATGGTAAAAAAGAAAAAAAGAAAAAAAGGCCGATAAACCCCGGCCACGGATTCTTATACCTTCGTGTACCGTAACTCCTCTTAACTTGAGATTTC